GGCGGCGCTGGCGCTGGCGCGGTCGCAGAGACATTTCTCCACAGCGCCACACGCGCCACCCTACTCTCGGCGCGGGCATCGCTCCGGCCCCGCACGCCGCGCAGCCCAGCCCACCCCCCGTTATTTCTTTCTCTCGAACGCCCGCCTCCTCCCGTGGCGCACTCGTCCACGGACTCTCGCGGACCGGGGCACCCATCCGCTGCCCTCGGCGCGGTCCTGCCGGTTCTACGCGCCGCGGCCCAGACTCTGGCGCCGAGGCGCGGAACCTGCGCCGGAGTTGGGCTCACGGAAACAACAGCGCCCGCCCCAGTCCTCCCGCGGCCGCGCCCGCCCCTTCCCCCCTGCCGGCGACCAAGGCGGGGCGCGCGCAGGCAGCGGCTAGCTCAGGGGCAGGGCTCCTCGCCCGGCGGGCGGCGAGGGTCGGACTGCGGGCGAGCCCTGCAGCGCAGGTAACGGACCGCCTTCTGCCGCCACTGGGCTCCTTTCCCGCAGCTGGGGTCCTCGCCGACCCGGAGAGCGCATCCTCTCCAACTATTGAATCCGGATAAAAAGCGGTCGTTAAAAGTTAACGCTAATCGTGTCTAGCTCCTCGCACAAAGTAATAATTAACACACCGACTCCAAACACAACATCACCACTCTTTTGTGGGAACATCAGCTTATTTATTCAGGGTGTAATATTACTTCCTTTCGTAAGAGTTGAAAAAGACAAAACAGAAGAAATGTACAGTTAATACTAAAGACAATTAAAATACGTAGGCAGAATTTCCCTCTTAATCCTTTCACATGTGTCAAAATTGATGAGTATCATAAATTCAAAAGGAGTGTTTTTTTCTACTGAAAATGAGGACTTCCAGCTCGCACAAATGATGCTTCCACTGAAGGCAAGACGCATCTGGTTTTTCTCTAGATTCGGAGATCTTTAGCGTCCCCAAGTTACAACTGAGTTGCTCTTTCCAGGCTTTTTGAAGCATCTTTAAGTTTCCCCACCAAGTCCTAAAATATGTAATATAATGCCATGTTTTAAGGATGAGACATGTAACGAAGTATCCAAGTTCGAGAGATGCAAGAAAAAAGTCGGGAGAACACTGTCAATACAAGTTTAGAATTCACTGGAATTTTAACCTTTGACAAACCAGTATCCATGAAAAGAAGCATTTTCCCTAAAATATCTTCAAATAGGATATTTGCCCTCAGTTTGAAATATGATTTCTTACGGAATCCTCTTAACTGCATGGTGTATCTAAATTAAATGTCTCAAGTTATCTAACGAAGGTTATGCTCGTGTGTGTGTGTGTGTGTGTGTATAGAAAGTTTAAAGTTTGTTACAGTGAGATGACTGCAGGAGATGTCTTTGAAAGTTTCATTTTTATCTAAGTTTCTAAGACTGATCTGCATTTTTTAAGTACTAAGAAATAAATTCGTTGTTATGCCCATCAATCAATGTACTTTTCAATTTTCCCAATCTTACACTGGCAGTATAAAATTTTAATATCATACTTTTCTTTTCATAAAAAATCATTTAAAACTGCTGCTTAACAACCCAATTTTGAAAAGTTTAATTCAATTTCTGAGAGGAAAGAAGATATTTTCAAAGTCATGCTTTCAATTTTACTGTATCTTACTGAATCAACCTCATGAATTGCAGGAATTTACACTAAACATTACACTTTAGAAATATTTTTTAATTAGAAGGAAGAGCACTATAGACTACTAGTAACATCTTCATTTCCAAAGTTAAGTCCATGTTAAAATATTGCTTTTCAAGCCCCTTTCTCATCTTCTTCTTAACCAAGAGTCATTTATCTGCTGACAAGTGGTTATTTCTCTATTAACCTTTCCACACCATAATTCTCTTTATAAAGGAGCATGTTCAAAGATACTAATACTGTACCTGTAATTGTTCCATGCTGCAACTAAAACTAATCTCTGGGTAGGATTGGGAATCAGTGTTCTAGGGAAGAAAAAATGCTGTTTATTTAAATCAAGAAAATTTAAATTTTCATTACATATTTCATTTTTAGACAGGGGTTGTCTATACATACCTCTACATTTAACGTCACCAAATATGCAGGTTTGTACATTTTATGAAGTTGACTGGTCTAAAACAATACAACATGTACATGTTAGTAATTATTTCTAAAAAGTTCCCTAAATCCCTTTGGAGAACAGTTTGCTAAACTTTACCTTTATCTGATATTCCAAGCGCCAAGAAACATCAGTTATATGAGGGAGAGATCTACCTATACTGAAAGATACAATGATAATTGTTTATGGTATCTACAGAAAACTTTTCAGTATTTATCTTTTGCTAAGAATGTCTACCACTTCCTCATCTCCTTTTAATCCATTCTGAATTTAAAACATTGTTAAACTTCATTTCAAATTCTAAAGAGTAAAAGCATTATAAAATTATCTCAATTTTATCTTTTATCTTTAAAACATTAGCTTAACTTCAATTGTTTCATTTGCCCTTTGGCCTTTTTCTTTGGGTCAGGATCCCAGTTTTTTTGCACTATTTTGTTTCACACCAGCATTCTCCATTCATACCTGCAAGTGAAAAGTGCCTCAGCTTGACATCTTATACAGAACCTACCTTCCCAGTAGGATTTCTAGAGAATTCTTATTATTCTGGGGAGAGGGGAAAAAAAGAAAAAGAAAACACATCTTTGTAAATAGTGGAAAAGAAAAAGTGGTAATTGTTAATTTAAAAATTCAAAGTAAGAAACCTGATATTCTGTGCAAAACAGTTCTATTCGCTCTCTGTCAAATTTACAGTCTTCTAGATATGTGCTAGAGGGAGGGAAATGCCAGAGTTTAGTCTGCATTTTAAAAACTGAAATTGCAATCATAAAGATATTATTTGAAAATAAATGAGTATTTAAATAAATCCTGTACCTTAGAGTTGACTTGTCAGCTCGGTGCTTTCCTGCCTCCAGTATGTAAGTTGCAGCTGCGGCATGACAATGTTTTAAAACCACAGGGTCAATATGTTTCAAGTCTGGGTGATCTAAAATGAATTAATTGCCAAGGATGCCTATGAAAATAAGTTCTTTATAGTCATATTTCCAAAAAGGATATTTTAATTTAGATAAAAATCCCCTTTAACAAGATAACAAAAATAATTCAACTTTAGGAACTGTCAATTTTATGGAAATGACATGAGCTGCAAGGTCAATTGCAAAACAATAAAGAGAACACATCAATAATCCTGCCTTTAATCTGTTTTCAATTACCTTTTTTTGCCTTAGCATTTTATTATTTTTAAAAAACATGGCTCCCAAAGAAAAAATAACTATACAGTGGTCATTCTAACACTGAAGTAAATTCAAAGAGAAAAACAAGATAAACATTTTACATGATGAAAATTTTATGATAACTTTCACTCTAAAAATGATGAAATTTTAGGGTAAATGGCTCCGTGGACATTAATACATCAAGAGAGGTGGAAAGGAGAGGATGAATTCAGAATATAAAATAGAAATTTCAAAATTCCAACAGTATTTTCAGGTTTTGACAGTCATCTTTTTTTTTCCTTTTGAGATTTACCCAGGTGGTGGTTACTATTTTCGTTTGAAGAACTTCCACTTTCATATTTTTTGCACAAGTGTCTAGTTCATGAACTACAGGAAAAAAACCCAAAAATTTGAATTGTTGATACATTTAAGAAAATTATCTAAAAGCGGTCTGTCTTAAAATATTCTCCTAGTCCATACTGACACTGCACTCCGCAACCGCTGATAGGACCTCTTAAGAGACTCGCCTTCTGGTAACTGGTGCGGAACAAAACATTATGCATCCTATTTAAGGGATCTAGGGGAAGAACCGGTGTAAAACACACTAAGCAGGAGTGTTGGAGAGATAATAGGAACCCAAGGTATTCTCCTGGTCGGAATATGTCAACACTACTTGAACTAGTAAGTGCTTAGGGAACAGACCTTTTAAACCTTTGCTAGCCTAGTCCAGGAAGCTTGAATTACAAGGAGCTCCTCTGATGAAGTCCAAGTGTCAAAAGAGCCACTGTCTCAGACCAGTCTGAAAACCTTAGATGTTTAGGCCACAAACAAGACTTGAACACGGGCTTTACGAAGAAAGGAACAAAGAGACTGGGAGGGAAATCGGGCCAAGAACGTGTACCCGGCTGTGTGCAGGTGCCAAGAGGGGACAGAACAATGCTCAGGGTCCGCTCTGGGTCCTGGAAGAGTCTCGTCTCCACACTCCGTCCGGAGCGAAGGGCAAAGCCCGGAGACTTCCTCTTCCCGGGGCTTTCCCCCTCTCGCTCTTCTCCTCCGAGCGCCCCCTCCACCCAGGCCGATCCAGCTCCGAGTCGAGCTGCTTACCTAACACGGCCTCGTCCGCCTGGGCGTCCAGCAGGCTCTGGAAAGCCGCCCGGAGGAGAAGCGTGAAGGCGTTGGAGTCAAAGGAGCCGGGATCAGCCAGCATCTGGAAGCCTTTCTGCACAGACTCCGAGAGCTCCATTGTGAGCGCGCCGTGACCTTCGACATGCGCACCACGTGACACGCGCCGCGCGCTCAGCTGATGCGGCCGCGCGCGCACGCGGCTCGGGGCGGCGGCGCGGGCTGCAGGGCCTCCCCGCCCCGGGCCTCCCCGCCTGCTCAGCGGCCTCCGCGCCCCCAGCCCCCGCTTCCGTCCAGCCCTTCCTTCTGAGCCAGCCGCTGGAGCTGCAGAGCCTCCGCCAGAGGGGCGGCCACGGGCGCTTTGTGAACGCGCTGGGCGCTTTCTCTCCACTCGGCGCTCACACAGGGTGGTCACCGCTAGGTTCCCCGAAATCCCCTGGGGAGGTGGCGGACCGCGTCCGGGCCGGCCCCCACCTCCCGGCCAACTGCGCCCTCCCGGCTCCTCAACCCAGCGCGAAATCCTGCGGGGAACCGCGATTTAAGGCAGCTGGTTTTGTTTATTTTTGTGGGGTGTTGTAACTCACCAGTTGGACTATGAAGCACTGCCCTTTTAGGAGTGAGACCGTAGACATCTGGTTTGTTTTCACCTTTCCCTTGTCATCTCTTTCCTGCGTGGTGTGTGTGTACACAGAGCTACATCCATAAAGAGCGCGCGTGAGCGTACCGTTCTTCAACAATTGGGAGATTAATAAATTATTCATGAACAGATTTGACCGTATTATTTTTAAAAATTACATACCACTGCAAATAAACACCTTTCGAAGGCAAACTGCAAGACAAATTTTGTGCTACTGAATTCAGTACATCTGTGGGTCCAGGTTTAATTACTCAATCGAGTCTTCATAAATACATATTAAGACAGTTGTTAGTAAAGTACGGCTTGTAATGGCAGGATCTTTATTAGAAGTGAGTTGCTGTCTCAGATATCCATAACTTTAAAGATTTAAATTCTGTATAAAGTTTAACTTCCCCTGTATTTCGACAAAGTTGGTTTGGAGAGCAGCAGAGATTCTTAAAAAAAA